TGCGCGGACAGTGGTTCTTGTCGGCCGTGAATCCCTGGGAGAACACACAGATTTCCGTTGGCTGCTATGAAACTGACCAACTGAAAGTGCGTCTCGATGTATATTTCCTGTCTACCATACTGGCCACGGCCTACATGGTGATGGCAATGGCGATCGTCCAGTTCTATTACCCGGGATTTTTGCTCGCTCTCTGGCGACATTTTGTCAACGCACTGTGGCATGATTATACCGTAGATACGGCGGGATGTGACTTGTTGCTGGCTACCCTCCCCTGCATCGGTTTAGCACTGCTCGGGTTGGATACCGCGTGGCAGTGTCGGCAAGCGATTCTGCCATTTCGACAGCTGTTCTGGGCCGAGGTGCAGAACGTCAGCGGCTTTGATATGTCAAGCATTGTAGGCCGGTTACATTGGATTTCTTATGCACTTTCGCATCGGCTCTGCTATGTATTGGTGGACCTTGTCGATTGGTCGGTCCTTTGGGTGGGGTATGTGGTCCTGGTTCTGCTGCGTCGGAAAGAAGTCTTCTGTGTTAACGACTAAAGCCAATAAAGTACAGACGCTCAGACGTCCGTCCCGGTGTGTAGGATTCCAGTTCACCGATCCGACAGTTCACGAGACGCGAATTTAGCATGTTCATCTTTTCCTGATTAATCAATCGTTAGCTGATTTTCTGGTTAAAATAGTTCTTTGTTAATGCATTCACAATCTTATTCTACCAAAGCTTACGTCTGATATTCAAGCGTTTTATGACAAAATCCTGTACGGTGTGCACGCCCGATAATCTCTAGAGTATGGCCTATACGGATAGTCGGATACCAAACCACAAGCAGCATGCAGTTTTATCGCTGTTTAAATACTGCAGCGACGACACTGGTTGGTTTGCGTAATCTGCGCTGCTCTCTTTTTGCGTCCTTCTGGAAAATGGCTTCGGTACTGGTGCTTCGGTCTTTTTAAATCAAAATGCATGTGACTCTGTTTCCTGACATGGTCAATTACAATTGCGCTAGCAGGACAACAATTGAATTTTATTTTGATCAGTTTACTTCTCTTCACCGAATTACTTCTGGATTATACTAAAACACGTTATGGTGATCATGGGTTGAAATTGTTTGAAGTTGTGAAAACTTCACACAATTTCGGTCCACGTATGCTTCTTCGGCAGCCGTGTTGACAACCGCGTAAGCTGTCGCAGTGTAGAAGTACTAGTAACACCTTGTATCTCGGCACGTGACATTTTGATTTAGCAGTTTTGGCCCAGCAAGCCGAAATGGATTTCGTGCTGGCCACTGTACAGTGTGATAACAATAACATTAATATTTAGAGGGTACCACTTACGGCGAACTACTTGCACTCATTACAATGGCACGTACTTTAATTGTACAGATAGGTGTGCCACAGGAATCCAAGATATTCTCCTCATGCATAGCAACCAGCCATGTCTCTGTGGCTCTATAGAGAAACTGCCGGGCACTACTACCATTAAACGGGGAAAATCTTAAGAGAAATCTTCGATACCGGAAACAGGATAAACTTGAGAAGTAAAGCGTTTCACGACGACGAGTTTTTCGTTCCTCCCTTGTGCTGGTTTTATAAGCCGATCTACTTGAGGACCTCTGTAAAACAATGCTCTGGGGGCCAAAAAGCTGTTGCACGGCGTAAATGAATAGTTCACGCAGTTGATTTTATATTATTAAAGTAGTCCACAAGACTTACGTCGGAGGTGTTCCTAATATAGGTAACACATTTTATATGCGAACTTTGTATAGTACGCTTGTGGTACACAGTGGATCACTTGGTGGGCCATGTTGTCATACGAGTCACCGGTGAGTGCTCTGCGCATTTCGATTAACGGCAAAAATTCCAAAGCCGGAAGACGTGACCTTGAAAAAAGCTACCAAAGTACGCCTGCATGAAGCACATATTGTTACAAAATTATACCCAAGAGCGCCCAAATTTAGTCAACCGTGTTTAATCGGAACTCTTTTAAATAAAGCAAGACATCTAGAATTTTCATAGATTTTAGTTTTGGAAAAGAAAGTTTTTACACGAAGAATCATGCAGAAGAAAAATAGCTCTCAAAATCGGAAACAATTCATTATGTATTCTGACGGTCAATAAGCGAGCATACGTCATAGTGAGATATGTATGCACTGTTTTAAGTATCTGCTAAGAAATGGGACCCGCTCCGTTGGCGTTATCGATTTGCCGCAGGCAAGTGTTGCAGCAACTCGTGTTGCATCGTCTTCTTAGCATTTTAGTGCTTATTTGTTGCTCGGTTGTCATGAAATTTGTTCGTAATCCCAGTAGTTCAGAAATGCCTGTAGCGTTAGTAACCAAGGATGACTCCGCGGTCCAAAATGTACCATACGCATTGCATTTTAACCGCTCTCGCTCGTGTGGTGATTGTTCGACGTTTGATCCAGCCTTTGACGATGTGATGCGAAGAGCTCTGGAGAAGAGCTCGTATGCCAAGCGTCTGAATCCCCTTATACGACAGCAGGCGCTGCTGTCTCTTGTCCGCAACTTGGTTTTATTTACAGCTTTTGTTGTTGAATATATGCGATTGCCAGCCCGGTCTGTCGGGGAGTTGGAACATGAGGAAGCAGAAGATCAAGAAGAGGAGGTACGCGTTAAGGTTGTACTCGTATTTTTTGTATGTGAAATAAAAAAGCATACCCTTCGAAGTTTGGTATACAGCGATTTTGTAGCCAAGTGTACTGTACATTTAGATATTTTTAGAAAAAATTTCTTTGCGTTTATCCTTGTGAATTTGAGGATGAGGAGCCGACAGGGTGACGGTTTGTTTATGCTGATACCATCTTAGGAGTAGAGCCATGTGTCTGTATGGTTGTTTGCGCTAAGCAGACTGATCGATTGCTTTCCTTACCAAGTAACCTTGAGTACGCAGCCGCATCTCGGCTACCGGCCCGATTTGCTGCTGTTTTTTCTAACTATTTGGTTTCATTCGCTACCGATTATAAAGTGTCCATTGCGGGTTGAACGAAGTACGGTTTTTTTCGTAATCGGCTTAGCCGAGAAACGAGCGCGAACCGAGCGTTAGTGTTCCGTAACGAAATCCTTACTGATCCGCCGTATTGAGCGGTTCATTCCATCCTCAGCGTTAGGAGTGCGCTGACTTAAAAATGATACAACTATCGTTTTTTTAGCCAGACGGACGCCCGTTCCTCCTGCAAGCTTTCCCATACCTTTTGGGAGGATGCTGTGCACTTTCCATTGCCGATTTTGTCAACGCCGTCTTGCTGTGGTGCAGCATGCAAAAATTGCGTGGACATTGGTTCCTGTCGGAAGTGAATGTGTGCCGAAGCAGCCGGCCTCCTGCCGGCTGCTGGGAAACCATGCTCATGGAAGCCTGTATGGTGTTGCACTCAACGTTCGCCATACTCGCCACCGGCAGCATGGTGACTGTCGTTGCGATCGTGCAGTTCAATAACCCTACATTTTCTACAGTCTCTGGTGGCACGTTGCCTATATATTGTGGCATGGTTATTACGTGGACACGACGGGGTACGACTTGGTATTGGTGACTCTTCCGTTTATCGGTTTAGCTGTGTACGGAGTGATAACTGCCGGAAAGTGTTTCCGCATGGTTCTGGCTTTTCAACAAATTTGCTGGGTCGACGTCGACATTGACTGTGTTCTAGAAAGCACGATCGGGCCCATCATATATCGGTTACACCGGAATTGTTATGTGCTTTTTTACCGGGTGCACTACGTTTTATGGGACCTTATCGATTGGGTGGTATTTTGGATGGATTATGTTGTCTTTGACATTCTGCACCGAAAAGAAGTTTCCTGTGTTAATGATTAAGGACGAGCCACGCTCCAACCTCTGTCCAGAATCCAGATGTCTGAGGATTCCACTGACCGATCCGACCGTTAAAGACCGTTAATTGCAGTACCTACAGTACTGCAATTTTGCAAGTTTATTCCTTTCATGACTTATCGCTTGATATTTGTCTATTGAAAAAGTTATCTTTTAGCACAATCGCAATCTACAAAAGTGTACGTGTGTTTAAAAGTGTTCTTCTTTTAAATACGAGTACAGTACTTACACGCACGGCAATCCCTATAGCCTACAGATACACACGGATACTAAACCACAAGCAGTAGCGTTATCGTTGTCTAAAAATTGCATTGTGGACTCTGGCTAGAATAGTTCTTATAAGCTATCCTCATTTTGGACGCACATGGCTTTAAAATTCAGTCATTTTAATTTTAAGTAAAAATACTGGTACATGTGACAGTTTATAGATACATACAGTAGGTGAGTGTTATTGCGTTAGCAGCTCTTTATTTTGTTTTGTGGTTTTTTTCTTTCTACAGATCACCGGTTCCCTACCTATAATATGAATCCTTTTCCTTGATACTTGTACTGTTGGAATCATCTTAAGCTGTATATACTGAAACCAAAAAGGGGCTCGCGTCGCTTGCGTGGCATTGCATAGATCTTAGGTGTATTACCCGCAGCCGACGCGGGTGCTCGAACTAAAGAAAATTGCGTACACAGTGCCCTGGAATCTACGATATAAAGTGTTTGAAATCAAAATCGGGTGAAAAACCAAGCCATGCCTTGAACTCGCTTGGGATGGTGCATCCGGTAAATTTTGCCAGCCAGTAGACGTAGTACAGAAAAATGTGTCATCCGACAATTTCATTCGGGCAACTGCATAGAGAAGTTTGAAAACATATGAAGGACCGTATTTGTACCGGTACTTATTAAATAGAGGGCTGTAAATAAGGTCTGTAGTCTAGATCTGACGTATGTTTGCCGCCTGCTGTAATCGCCCCATGCAGTTTAGCACGGAGCACTTCCAAAGAAAACACAGTATTATGCGGTATTCGCTCCAGCAGTTTTATTGATTTTCTGTTGCCTGTTGGCTGTTGACTTGTTGCAAGAAACCGTGTTGGCACAGTATTGCATTTGTTTTCATAAATTGATCGTTGTTTCGGCTTTTACACAATTTGTTCGAAATTCGAGTAGTTTTTCAGCCATGCCTGTAGCGTTATTAACCATGGATGACTCAACGATCGGAAATGTGCCGAAGCTGTTGCCTTTTATCCGCTCACGCTCGTGTGGGAATTTGCCAACGTTGGATCTTTCCTTTGACGATGTGATGAGAAGAGCTCTGGATAAGAACTCGTATGCCAAGCGTTTCAGGCCCCTTTTTCGACAACTGGCACTGCTATCTTTTGCCCGCAACCTGATGTTCTTTACCGCTGTTGCCATCGGTGTTGTGCGAGCCCTGTCTGAGGAACAGCGTGAAAGCCAGGAGCCAGAAAACCAGGAAAAGGTACGTTTTCAACCTTCAAAGGTTATCTCCCAAAAAACGTTATGGACCCTTTATGCTTACTATGCATCTGCATATTTATTTGAAAACTATTTTGTTTATACAGGTAAATTTTTAGCCATAGCCACGAAACTAAAATTATTTTCTATTTTGCAAGCATAATGAGTACATATGCATGCGCAGCTGTATAATCACCGCGCAGTTCTCGAGTAGAGACATGTACAGCCGTACAGGTAACATGTAAATTAACCACTCTACGCTGACGACCCGTTTCTTTACCGAGAGTAAGGAGCGGAAATCACAGGCATATTATCTTTATCAGCTGCTTATCGATTTTAAGCTACCCTTTAGAAACTTAATTTTAATCACTACAGTACATTTACAATTAAATAATAGAAATGAGTTTGTTAAAACATGGTTTTAATCATAATCTTACGGATTAAAAACCTACGGAGCCGAGCAACTATCAATTTCTTGAAAAAAGGCCTTAAATTGAAATTGTAATGGCTTCAATAAACCCCACAGAGTAACACTTCCTAATCAGGTTTTTTTTGCCGATGCGCTGATTTATAATACGACAATTTGGTTTTCAGCCAGTCAGACGTCGTTGGCTCCTGGAGCTTCTTCCCGTTTTCCAAGGATTAGGCTTCGCCTTCTCCCTGGGCGATTTAATCATGGCTCTGAAGCTGTGGTACAGTGTGCGGAAGATGCGCGGAAAGTGGTTCCTGTCGGCCGTGAATCTCTGGGAGAATACACAGATATCTCTGGGCTGCTTTGAGAGTGACGATCTGAAGGTGAATCTGGATCTCTATTTCCTGTTTGCCGTACCGGCGACATGCTACATGGTGACGGTAGTGGGATTGTCCAGTTTTATTTTCCGGCACTTTTCTTAGCGCTCTGGCGGCATGTTCTCTATGTACTGTGGCATTATTACACCGTTGACGCGGCGGGATGCGGCTCACTCCTGGCGACTCTCCCGTGTGCCGGTTTAGCCCTGCTCGGCTTGATTATCGCTTGGCAGTGCCGGCGAATGATCCTGCCGTTCCGACAGTTGTTCTGGGCCGAGGTGCACGACGACGGTATTGATCTGTCGAGCATTTCAGGCCGGTTATACTGGGTATCCTTTCTGATATCTGCTCGAATCTGCGACGTTATGGTGGACCTTATCGATTGGTCGGACCTTTGGGTGAAATATGTTGTCTTTGTTCTTCTGCGCCGGAAAGAAGTCTTCTGTATCAATGACTAAAGAGTAAAGACTAGCCTGCTCGAACGCCGCGATGCGCAAGTTGCAACAATCACTTTCACCGCACTGACCGTCGGCCCTTTACTACCGATCTGCAAGCGCATTTCTTTAAATTCCTGTCTGATAGTTTCATGCTTTTCTGCTCTAACAATAACTTGTTAGCACACACATACTCGTAAATCGCTAATCTGCAAAAGTTTACTTCTGATGTTCAAGTTTGTTCAAAATACATTAGCGCCAATCCCTGTCCCAGACCCCATGCAGTATGGCGTTACTGCTAGTAAAAATTACGCTGTGGACGCTGTTTTGCTTGTGTAGTCTGGTCGCATTTCGAGTGCATCTGCGAATGACTGCACAATTCAGCCTTTTCCAATCAAAATCCAAGTTTATAGGTAGTCATGTTATATGATATTACGTTAGCGGTTTTTATTATACTGGTTTTTGGGTTGTTTCTATCCAAAGGTCATGGGTTCCTTACATGCAATGAATATAATAATAATCACCTTCCTTGACTGTTCCTTGAGCGTTGCACTCATACGGTTATTACACACTGTTTTAGTCTCTAAATTCGGATGTTTGTCATTCTTTGGCGACAGTCTGCATTTTACAAACTCAAACTACACGAACGTACAGCCAGTTTTAAGTAGCAACTACCACAAAATTTCACATAGGTACTTGTAAATTCAAGAATAGCCACCTCATGGTCCAAAACCGTTCGACACAACACCATCACTGCATGACCTTTATTCTGGCATCCTGCGGTTTCCGACTTATGTCCAACCGTTTCAAAACAGAATCTTTTGCGTACTCATCTCGACGGTCCGTACACATACTGCTCCACGTAGTACGTAGATTTTCAGGGATTTGGGAATGCTGCTCGAAGGCAGCATACTGTAATTATCACTTTGCTGCCGGCAACGTATAAAATTGTAAAAAGAAAGTGATATGTTTGCTTTCTATCGTTTCTGTTCGCAACCTTCTACTTGTACAGCCTTTGCTGTCGAATGTATGCGGTAGCCGACGATGGGTGGGAAAACGAAAACAAGTTGGAATATGACGACATGTGGAAAGCCAGGAACGATCAACCAACTGTATCCATGTAATACAGTTTCGAAATAAAACGGCAACGGCCAGGAACGTGAAATCCAGAGAAGGTGCGCAGTGCGCTTTAAAGTGATAAAATTAACACACCTCCGCCGAAGGATAGTACGTACTGTATGAACAGTGAGATTTTCTTATAAAGTGCACTGTGCATTTAAATAGTTCTTTTAAAAAAATATAGTATTGTAATATCTTCTTTGTGACTTACCAAAATTTGAGCCGGGACAGCCGCCAGGGTGATAGTATGCACTGTGTACTTCGGTAATCAGTGCATTGGTGGGACGCTCTTGCTGTACGAGACAATATTAGAAACAATACTGTCTGTCCAGAAAGAAGTGATTTGCTAAGCGTTACGTTCTTCATAATTAGACCGAATAACAAACCGATTGCAAGCTTTTTTAGTGAAGTCCTAAATGAACCGCAACGGTTCGACAATCCATCAGCGCATAAGAATTATGTGCCCATTGGTTTCTAGTCAGGCGGAACTCCCGTTCCTCTAGCAACTTTTTCCTTTCCTTTTGGGGAGTAGGTCACCTATTTTCCCTTGCTGATTTACTCAGTGCCTTGTTGCTGTGGTGCACCGTGCGAAAGATCCTTGGACACTGACAGTGGTCCCTGCCGGCCTGTGTGTGGCACGGTACACGGAACTATGCCGGTTGCTAGGAAAACGCTCTCATCGTAGGATGCTGGGCACTTACTAATTGCTCGCTCGCCATAGCCTGCATGGTAAATTACAGTGGGGATCATCCAGTCTATTATCCTGAGTTTTTCTGTTCTCGCTGGTGTCATGTGGTGTTTGTATTGTGGCATGAAGCCGCATGATTATTACGGGGACACGGTGGGGTATTATTATGTTGCTGGCTACTCTCCCGTCTGTCGGTTTAGCGATGTGCGGCTTCATAACCGCCCTGCGCGCTTTTGCCGCTCCAGCAAATGCGCTGGGACGACGTCGGTATCGCGGACTTTTTGGGCAACATCGGGCGGGTATACTGGAGTTCTTATGGGTATTTCTACCGGGTGTACTATGTTTAGTGGACCTTGTCTATGGGTGGGTCATTTGAGTGGACTATTTTGTCTTGGACTTTTGGTAGGTTTCACGTAAGTTGCACGGTGCACGTCCGATATACCTGTATACGAAGGGCAATACAGTAACCGGTGTCCTTGTGGTGACCGTATAGCTAAGTGCGCGCAATTTTCCGCGAAATAAATAAGAGTTAGGTCCAGCATTTTTCACGAGCGGAAATGTCAGCTTATTAATAAATCCTATGTCTTGAATACATTAACCCATGCTGGGTATGTAGTGTTCAGAGTAGATAAAGAACTAGAGTACTATAAAGTATATGTAAATATTTAGAGTACTATAAAGAATCAGAATAACCTGTTTAATTGCGACGTGTTAAATTACGGAAATCTGTGATGAAACTGTAATCTGAAATCGATAAGTATCGGTACCAGGAGATTCATTCGTACGATATCTGTTAGTGGTGGCATGTCGCAGCTTTGCATAAAACTGTTCGTACGAGTACTATAAAGTACAAGCAGCCGTTGTGCCGCGATCCAATCGGCACTGTCTATCGAGCGGGATAACCTTTCCCGGAAGCGAGCTGTTCCACCACTATACCGTCATCGGCGCATCAAAATAAGCAGGTGACTTGCTAACGCAATAAGAAATTCTTGAATTGCGCCATGGACCATGGAGCGCGATAACCACTTAAAGCCGTGGACATTGTGACGCAAACCGCTCATATTAATGCAGCCGGCATACCAGCTACAGGCTTGCGCGCCCGGTGAGCCCAGATACAAAGGCGCCGCAGTGCCGTCATGGGCGCATCTGGAGTAATACGCAACCTGGAGTAAACTGCACTGTATGCAACATTGTAACATAGATGTATAAACCACATTCGACAGACTCTAATTTAAAAATTAAACAGGTTTCATGATACATATAATAATATGTAAGCTGTCGAGAAAGGTCGCCACCTGGTTGTAGTGCTGGAAGGCTGACGATATAAACCGATTCAAACAGTCAATGTTTGCTAATTTTGCATCAGTAAACCCAGGGCAACGCCGTCGGCAGCTTTGCGCCTCTGAATCTGTCGGAATGATCCATCTGTCGAAATGGACAGGATAAACCCTGCCGATGTTTTTCCATGCCTATCAGTGGCGGTTGGCGTAGCTGCTGGTGCTACTCATAGGTATGTAGTAAGAATTCATTTGCAAGGACATGGTAAAGAACGAGCAGGTACTTCTGAAGTTCTTAGGACGAGGTGGTCGTGGACGACTGTTCACCACCACCGTGGAAAAATGCCTTATATGACTTTTTTATAAATGTTTGATTCGCGCAGACCTAAACGGCGATAAGTATGTGTACAATAAATTACATTCTGTACTTGCAACTGGCGCTGGTGATAAAGATATCGTATAGGGCGATTCGTCCACGCCACCGCCCGTTTCGACAGTTACGAGTCAAGTTTCCAGTTTCCAACTTTCAGTTTCCACTTTTCGAATTTCACGCACGTTCTCGATTTCACATAAAAAGTATACCGTGTTCACTTGTTGCAGTTATATTACTGCACTTCTTGAACTTTATTCTTTCAAAAATCAAAATCCAAATAGTTCTTCAGCTATGCCGGCGGTAGCGAAAGTGACCCAGGATGATTCCGCGATCCGAAATGTGTCGAATCCGTTGCGTTTTATCCGCTCTCGCTCGTGTGGCGATTTGTCGACGTTTGATCCAGCCTTTGACGATGTGGTGGGAAGAGCTGTGGAGAAGAACTCGTATGCCAAGCGTCTCAAGCCCCTTGTTCGACAGCTGGCATTGCTGTCTCTTGCCCGCAACCTGCTCTTCTGTGCAGCCCTTGCCGTCAGGTGTATGGGACTAATAATTGCAGTGCGAACTGGCGGCGAGCTTGAAAATCAGGAACGTGACAACCAGGACGAGGTAATCTTTGTAGTTTCAGAAGTAAAGGATATTCATTATTCTGTGAGGCATAGTGCGGCTTTCTGTACTGTTGATTTCACTATTTTAAAAAATATTATTCCGTTCAAATTGGGTCATTAGCCGTCTGGACATCAGTAGGCGGTGCACTGCTGTAATTGCGCATCCGTACTAGAGTACACTGCATTGTTTAGAGCCGAAACGGCGCTGATTTGGTCATAGAACTTTGATCTGCTTTTAGTCATACATTCCCCGTCCATTCCCTTGGAGTATGTGCCTGCTCTTCAGGGAGTAATTCTTGCCTGCTCCCTTATCGATTTATTCTTCGCATTCTTGCTGTGGAACGGTGTGCGGAAGATGCACGGATCATGGTTCCTGTCGGCAGCGAATCTTCGGGACGGCACGCGGATTTCCATCGGCTGCTATGAAAGTAATTTTCTGAAAGAACACCTAGAGGAGCATTTCACCTACACCGTACTAGGCACAGCCTTAATGCTGCTCGTCGTGGGGCTTATCGAGTTCTTCTATCCGCGATTATTCTTGGGTCTCTGGCTTTTCGTTCTCGAAACCTTCTGGTATTATTCTACCGTGGATGCGGCGGGATACGCAGTGTTACGCGCATGCGCATTGTTATTGGCTACACTCCCGTGTATCGGCTTAGCGGTGGCCGGCTTGAATATCGCTCGCAAATCCCGTCCTATAATTCTGCAGTTTCGCCAAATCTTCTATCACGAGATGCACCTTGATATTGCCTTTGATCAGTGGGACGACTCGAACTTGATTGGGTGGTTCTGCAAGAATTGGCCTGTGTTTCGTTACCGAGTGCGCCACATTGTGCGTGACCGTCGTTCATTTTGGTCGGTCATTTGGATGTTGTCTTTGATCTTCTGCGGCGACAAGACATCGTCGGTATTAGTGACAAAACACTAGCAAATGTCATGATGTGCGGCGATTCTTTTTCACCGATCTGCTCGGTCCGCGCTGTACGACATTTCTGCAAACGGATTTTCCAGTTTATTCGATCTCGGTGTGCAATTTTCTGATAATAATGATAATTATCTGTTATGGACGTAAGGTGTGTTTCCATCGAGAAAATCCCTTTACAGGTTTTACTGGTGACGATACTCCGTCTGTACATACTATAATTATAGCCATTGCCAATTACTTTAGTAGCGCTACCGCCTTCAGACGACAATTGAGCGAACGCTCGCACTTACTTATGGTAATTATTGGTAACCTTTTAAAAATGCTATTGCGATTCACCGTTGGTTACATGAAGATCCTTCCTTCCTTCTGTTTCTAATTTTGCATATTACCATTGTTCGACTCGCAATCTTTTTTCTGAACAAAATAACTATAGGATCTTCACTCTTGCGAAGAAAACACCAGAAATTTAATAACAAAATTTATATATATATATACTATATAGCATTTTTGACCATGACCTTTAGATGACCTTTTCCTCCTTATAGGTTTCATTCGACTCAGAAAAAATACTGAGTCGAATGGAGCCATCGGTTACGTCATAGCAATCGTGGGGTATATTACCATTATACCCGAACAGGGCATAGTTCACGTGGATCCAAGATCACGTGATCAAGTTATTCAAGTTACCGTTCTACATTAACAGTTGGTTTCTTAGGTTCTTAGGGTTTCTTTCTTAGGTCAATAAGGTTACTGTTTTATATTAGCGGTGGTTTCTTAGGTTCTTCGGGTTTCTTTCTTAGGTCAATAAGGTTACTGTTTTATATCAGCGGTGGTTTCTTAGGTTCTTAGGGTTTCTTTCTTAGGTCAATAATGTTACTGTTTTATTTTAACGGTGGTTTCTTAGGTTTCTTAGATCTCTGTGGTTTCTTAGGTTTTCTTAGATTTCTTAGGTTCCTTTGGTTTCTTAGGTTTCTTAGATTTTTTAGGATTCTTAGGTTTCTAAGGATTCTTAGGCTATGCTTGGGTTATTCTTAGGTTTCTTAGGATTCTTAGGTTTTCTTAGGTTTTTAGGTTTCTTAGGTTTCTTAGGTTTTTAGGTTTCTTAGGTTTCTTAGGTTTCTTAGGTTTCTTTGGTTTCTTAAGTTTCTTATCCACCAATCTGCCGAAGGTCGGCAGATTGGTGGATGCGATTTCATTGAACATCCACCCGTCCACCTTTCTGCCGGCTACAATCGCATATTGCGGCAGTGCATAATACTCGTATGCGTTTGAAAAATTACGCTAGCAGTCAGCCACTAGAGTAAGATTTTTGACAGCCAGCAAAATTAAAATTAAGTGTAATCAAAGAAAAACCTATCAAACCGTATTCGACGTTTCGTACGTATTATGGTAAGTACAACGAAATACCCAGATTTTGCCGCTTTTGTGGCATGTCGAGCACCGAAATACGGTAGCATCAGATAAGAAGAAACATCAGACATGGTATTTACTGTTACCGGCAATGCCGCCATCAAGGACCGGTGCAAATCCCTAACATGCGGGAGAGCCGGTACTACGTTCTGTTGTCCGTAGCCTGTTATTGTGCACCACCTTTGCCATAGACTATACGCTTAACGCGACTAATAATCAGAATCTGGCGACAGACATGAAAACCCGGAGCTTGGAAATCAGCTGGAAAAAATACGTTCCGATGCTTTCCAGTTTAGCGAAACCCATCGAAATTTATCGGATTAGCTGGCCGTTCTGTTTCTAAACCGGATAAAATTATTTTAGTTTTGGTTCTTTCGTTCGCTCCTCGTTCTTTAATACGTTCTAACAAATTCGTTCTAAATGAATTCGACCCGCGATCTGGCGGCACGGTGTTCTGCTGTTTCTCGATTCTGGTATATTACGTGGTCCTGGTTTTTCTGCGCCGGAAAGAAGTCTTCTGTGTGGACGACTGAAGACACTCGAATGTCCGTCCCGGTGTGCTAGGACTCCATTGCCTATTTTTGCTATCAAACCCTTCGAGACTTTGCTACAGTTCTGCCCGCTCATTTCTTTTAATGTCTTCTCGATTAATGTTTACTAGCTGATTATAAAGGGCATCGTGGACACTCGCAGGGCATTACATCTGGACACCGGCTAATTTGCACTTGGACACACGCGAAATTTTCTTCTGAGCATTAGACTAATGATTGATAAAACTTCGACAAAACTCTGGTGATTAACAGAAGCCGCTTTTCCGATTTAAAAGTTTGAAAGCCTTTCCCGAAATAAAGACTTCATCGAAAACCTTTACGAGGAATAGGGACCTCGGTTCACTATTGGGCAAAATTGTGATGGAACCTTGGTAAATCGCGTCAAGACAGCAGTGTAAGGTCAGCCCGTCTGGAAAAACCGTTTCAGTGTTCATGGTACGTTGTACTCCTATAGTAATCGTCAACTTTGTTTACTTTTTCGTCTTGTGCAAATTTTCCTGGCGGCAGTTGCACGAACGCTTCCACGCATTTAACCTTCGAAAGATTTTGTTTCAACGTTTTGTTACAGTGATTGTCGAAAAACCACTTTCAAAATCTGTTATATACTTATGTTTTCTAGTACTACGTTTGTACTCATGACAGGATACTTATTAAAGGTTTTACTTTCAAAAGCGATGGAGTTACTGTAGCTGTAGAGTTCCTTACAGAACCATTCCTTCTTCTGCGCGTGCTAATTATAATGCCATTTATTTTCTAAAGGACTAAAGCTAGAGCGTTTGAAATTTCATTTTCTCCATTTGCATTACTGTAAAGAGGAACGAAGACAATTTTAAAACCAGATACTTTATACAGTTTTCATACATTCATGACCAAATGCAGAATTCAAAAACGATCTGCCTTCAGCGAGACCTTGAGTCCACCTGTTGCGTTCTATTTTTGAATTTCATTTCTTAATCCAATACTCCGCACCGGATGTAGCACATAAGAACAGTTTTCACAGCAATGAGACATCAGACAATATAAAACAGTATTCTGGAACGAACAACAGTAAATTTTTTGTGCATGTCCAGGAATATGGTGCGGTGTAACGGGTTATATCGGTAACCGTCCATGGTGTCCGGATATATGAGATATCCGCCGGACGTTTTAGACGGTTCCACCGCCAAAACGTCGTTTTGGCGGTGGAACCGTCTAAAACGTCCCGTTAGGTTTCCGTCAGTTTTGAAGCACTTCAGCACTTAGTAGCGCGTTCGGTTTCGATGGGAAAAATGATTAGGTAAACAACAGCTATCTGTTCATCATGATAAATGCTTTATTCAGTAATTTCACAAACCATTACCTAAGGCGGTGTCTTCGCCCTCCGCCCACCGGCGATCGCAGAGGTGACATCTGTGATTCCATTTTCAAATGCAAATCAAAATGCATAATACAGACCAGACATACACAAATAAAAAATCATTGAATTAAAAGCTTTTATATGATCGTAAATAAAGCGTGCAGCCTGTGCATCAAATTAAAACAATTGTCACAATTATCACTTAATATTGAACTTTGCCAGCCAACACGCAAAACGTCATACAGTCCATAGATTGCAGAACCAAGAATTCTAATACAAAGTAAATTTTACATCCCGTCCGCGTCGGAATTGTCGCGCCACAAGCGAAAATTAACGGCTGCCGCCAGTGTTAGCCAACCGAGATACGGGACCATGAAAAACGCCGCGGTTTTGTTGATTGGATAGAAACAGCCGATACAGGCAGCCACGTTAATCCAAAGTGCTGAAGCCGTCGCAAATGTCTGTAACCGACGATTTCACAGATATCACAAACTTATTTGGTCGAAGTCATGTATACGTTATAGGCTTATCGCATACGTAATGTGTAAGAATTTTTATACCAGGCCAAGACGATGATATTTAAAAAACATCGGTGACCACGCCCAGTTGAGTGCCAGTTGCGTTGCGTACAAGACGAGAGGAACCCGAGCTGCTCCGGTCCAACCACCGCCTTGTCGCCACACTAACCACGATGCGGCACCCATGCTCCCGTACAAAACCGTCCACACTGGCGACAAAACCGCAAAAAATTGTTACAGGAATCAATAGTTCGATGCCGTATCGAACCCGATAAAAATGGACTTTCCGAAAAGTCGTTACATATTTATAAATAGTCCGAAATAATTCTATCGTTTGACGGAAATTAAAAACACTCAAATAGCGGTTTTTCTCACTGTACCTGGACCGAACACCCATTTTGGCGGAGTCCACGGTGGTTTCTTGAGGCGCTATGGGAGAGAAGAATGTTGACTAATAAATTCGAGAAGTAATTAATTTGTTAGATGGCTTTGCAATGTAGCGAGTACATGTATATGCCACGCGACAGTAATTTTTGTTGCATAAAGCGTTTGAATTTTGAATTACCTCGTACCACGTGAGGGGTCCCTCAAATTCACTGCGGAGCAGATACCCCCATATCGATCCGCCCAAATTGGGAATCACCATTCTACAACGTTGTCATTCTTAATAAAATGTTAACCATTACGTACGTATTACTGATATTTGCACGCTGTGTATTAGTGTTCAGCTTCTCACGCTGGTAGCAGCTCCCGTGCAAAGATAGACATGGTTATCTGAGGAAACGGATACAAATGCTGCAGTTGTGCATGCCCATGGGCCATGGCTCAGTGTGTCTCCGCCCTCCGGTGCCAGCGATCGCAGAGTTGACATTTGTGATCCCATTTTCAATACAAATCGAAATGCAAATTAAAAATCAAACTTATACAAAATACAAATCATCCAATGAATGGAATGGAGAGCGCAGCCAGTGCATGCTCCGATAGGAGTACTAACAATAAGCAATTTCACGTGTAAAATTTGGTACACGCTGTGTAATGACTGTAATCTTATCGGACAACGATCAGGTCAAAGATAATTATAGCACAGTTAGTATTTGTACTAGAAGGATCACCGAAAACAGACATTCACAAACGCGATGTTCAAAGCAACATCAGCTTCCGGGGCTGCGGGATGTTCTTGGAGGTATGATGCCATGGTTCGCGCATTATCGAGGATAATTGTAAGTTGTACCGTATATGATCTGCTTGAAATTGAGTGAAAAGCTTACGCTAAGCAGCGTCAAACAGCCTTTTTAACCTGTGAGTTGGGTTTACTGATACGAATCTAAACGGACTGAAAACGGCAGATCTCCGTGCAAAAACTGTCAATTAAAAAACGCAGGCCTGTGCTGCACACTGTTTGCTTGCCTTGGCATGAGGAACACTCACGTATACATAAATAAAGAGTATATTCACGAGCCAATCGATCGATGCGTACTGCCAGCAGCTTGGCTCTGTGTTCGTATTATTTTTTACACATCTTGCTGTAATACAGTTTTAAAACCGGTTCTCATCGTTTACGCTGAATATGCAAACAGAGACCCGTTGCATCAAAATGCATTTGCTAAATGCATTAACTTACCAATGATAAGACGATTGGCTGCGAGCACATCTAGATTCTAGATCTTTATTCTTTATTAAAATAGAAAGGGGTAGGCCAACCCAACTTAACCGTACGGAATTAACAAAAACCATTTCCATAATATTATGAAAGCCCATGTGCCAGAACTCGGCCAGACAGTTTTACTTTTTTTAATAATCCATTCTAACGGTGCCAGCTATCATTTCAGCAAACCTAAGTATCTCGGCATACTTTACTAAAGTATATCATTTTTTTCCTGAAATATAGAGGCAACTGTTGCTATGTGCGTAATTGAAGATTTAAATTAAGAGTAGAGCCATGTGTCTGTACGGTTGTTTGCGCTAAAAGGTTGATCGGTTGCTTTCCTTACCAAGTAACTCTTTGGTAAGCAGCCGCATCTCGGCTACCGGACCGATTTGCTGCTGTTTTTCTAACTATTTGGTTTCGTTCACTACCAAATATAAAGTGTCCATTGCGGGTTGAACGAAGTACCGTTTTTTTTCGTAACCGGCTCAGCCGAAAAGCGAGCGCGAACCGATCGTTATTGTTCATAATGAAATCTTTAATAAACGGTATTCGCCATAGTGAGCGGTTCATCCCATCCTCAGCGTTAATAGTGCGCGGTAATAATGATACAAAACTATCGTTTTTTTAGCCAGACGGACGTCCGTTCCCTCTGCAAGTTTTTCCTTACCTTTTGGAAGGATGCTGTGGACTTTCCATTGCCGATTTCGTTAATGCCTTGTTGCTGTGGTGCAGCATGCAAAAACTGTGTGGACAGTGGTTTCTGTCGGAAGTGAATGTGTGCCGAAGCACGCGGCCTCCTGCCGGCTGCTGGGAAACCATCCTCATGGAAGCCTGTGTGGTGTTGCACTCGACGTTCGCCATACTCGCCACCGGCAGCATGGTGACTGTCTTTGCGATCGTGCAGTTCAATAACCCTACATTTTTCTACGCTCTCTGGTGGCATATTGCCTATATATTGTGGCATGGTTATTACGTGGACACGACGGGGTACGACTTGGTATTGGTGAATGGTGATCCCCCGTATATCGGTTTAGCTGTGTACGGAGTGGTAACTGCTAGACTGTGTATGGAGTGGTAACTGCTAGAAAGTGTGTCGGCAAGATTCTGGCGTTTCAACAAATTTGCTGGGCCGACGTCGATATTGACTGCGTACTGGAGAGCACGATCGGGCCCATCACAGATCGGTTACATGACCGAAGTTATTATGTGCTTTTTCACCCGATGTACAGTACTATGGTTTATTGGACCTTGTGGATTGGTTGGTATTCTGGATGGGTAATGTTATCTTTGACCTTCTGCGCCGGAAAGAAGTTCTTTGTGTTAATAATTAAAGACGAGCCACGCTCCAACCACCGTTCAGATGTCTTAGGATTTCACTGACTGATCCGACCGTCAGCGACAGTACTGCATTTTACTCATCGTGTACTGCCTTATCGTTTGACATATGTCTGTAGAAAACAGTTATGTTTCATCCCATTACGTCTGATGTTCAAGTTCTTTTATATATCGTACCAATCCCTCTAGCCTGCTCACAGATACCTAACCGCATCCAGTAGCGTAATCGTTATAAAAAACTGCATCGTTGACTCTGGCTAGTATTTATATAGCTGTTATAAGCTGTCCTCATTTTGCTCGCACATGGCTTTGGAATTCAGTCATCAAAATGCATGTGACACAGTTTCTAGGTACAGTACATAATATTTTAAATGTTATTGCATTAACAGTTGTTTATTAGACACGGTTTTTGTTTTACGGTTGCGGTTTTGTGGCTTTTTCTTTGTTTTACGGTTTTTCTTTCTAAAGATCGCCGGTTTCCTACCTATAATATAAATCCTATTCCTTGATACTCCTGCTGTTGGGATTATCTTAAGTAAAGTATATGCTATAACAGGAAGGGCGCAGAATCGCAGATCTCAGGTGCAGTAAACATATTGACTAATGTCGCATAGCATACCAGCATTCTGTACGCATCCACTTGTAGAAACGGATATTTTGAACTCAGTCGTACAGTGCACCGCTGCATTCGTACTGAATGTGGACGACCATTGTCCTGTTGTACGCGTAGCAGACGCCGGCGCTCGGTTACCAAAGTAAAACTGAGTAGACACATTGCCCTCGAATCTGCGATATATGTAAAGTGTTTGAAATCAAAAATCGGGTGAAAATTAAGTCAAGCCGTAGAACTTGATTGGGACGGTGCATCCGCTAAATTCTGCCCGTCAGTAAAATTAATAAAATCATCATTTGTCCCACAATTTCATTCGGGCAACTTCATAGAAAAGACTGAAAAAGCATATGAAAGACTGTATTTGTACCGCCAGTACCGGTACTTATCAAGTAGAATGCAGTAATTAAAGCCTGTACAGTCTAGTACAGTAGTACTCACGTGTACAATGCCGCCTGCTATCATCGCCCCATGCAGTTTAACACGGGAGCATTTCCAAAGAAACAGAGTATTATACGGTATTCGCTCCGATAGTTTTATGGATTTTCTGTTGCCTGCTGACTTTTGCAATAAACCGCTTTGGCACAGTATTGCATTTGTTTTCATAAATTGATCGTTGTTTCGGTTGCTACACAATTTCTTCAAAATTCGAGTAGTTCTTCAGCCATGCCTGCAGCGTTTATAAGCAGGGATGACTCAACGGTCGGAAATGTGCCGAAGCCGTTGTCTTTTATCCGCTCTCGTTCCTGTGCGAATTTGTCAGCGTGGGATCTTGCCTTTGACGAAGTGATGAGAAGAGCTCTCGAGAAGAACTCGTATGCCAACTGCCAAGCGTTTCAGACCCCTTTTTCGGCAACTGGCACTGCTATCCTTTGCCCGCAACCTGATGTTCTTTACCGCTGCTGCCGTCGGTTTTGTGCTAGCTATGTCTGAGGAACAGCGCGAAAGCCAGGAGCCAGAAAACAAGGAAAAGGTACGCTTTCCAGCTTCTAATATTATCTCCCAAAAAACTTTATGGATCCTTTATGTTTACTGTACATCTGCATATTTATTTAAAAAATATTTATATATGCAGATATTTTTTAACCCTAACCACCAAACTAACAAGATTTCAAGATTTGCAATTTTGCAAGTATGCATGCCGCATGCGCAAGCTGTATACTGTATAGTCACCGCGCAGTTCTAGAGTAGAGCTACAGTATCTGCAGCCGTACAGGTAATACGTAAATTGCTCTACGCTGACGAGCCGTTGCTTTACCGAGAGTAAGGAGGGAAGTCTCTGCACATCAGCTGTTTATCGCTTTTAAGCGACCTTTAGAAATTTAATTTCAATCACTACCAAAGCAAATTCTCTATCAATTAATAAAAGAAAGTTGCTAAAGCATGGTTTTAATCATAATTAATTTTACGGATTCAAAATCTACGGAGCCGAGCAATTACTTTGAAAAATTCCTTTAATCGCAATTTTAATCGATTCAGTAAACATCTCAGAGCAAAGGTTTCCTAATTAAGTTTTTTGGCGAGCGCTGAATAATAATACGGCAATTGTTTCCAGCCAGTCAGACGTCGTTGGCTCCTGGAGCTTCTTCCTGTCATTCAAGGATTAGGCTTTCTCTCCCCGGGCGATTTAATCATGGCTGGCAAGCTGTGGCATAGCTTGCGGAAGATGCGCGGGTCATGGTTCTTGTCGGCCGTGCATCTCTGGAAGAATACACAGATATCTCTGGGCTGCTTTGAGAGTGACGATCTGAAGGTGAATCTGGATCTTTATTTCCTGTTTGCGGTACCGGCGACATGCTACATGGTGACGGTAGTGGGGATTGTCCAGTTCTGTTTTCCGGCACTTTTCTTAGCGCTCTGGCGGCATGTTCTCTATGTATTGTGGCATTATTACACCGTGGACGCGGCGGGATGCGGCTCGCTCCTGGCGACTATCCCGTGTGCCGGTTTAGCCCTGCTCGGCTTGATTATCGCTTGGCAGTGCCGGAGGATGATTATGCCGTTCCGACAATTGTTCTGGGCCGAGGTGCACGACGACAGCGGCATTGATCTGTCGAACATTTCAGGCCGATTATACTGGGTGTCCTTTCTGATTTCTGCTCGAATCTGCGACGTAATGGTGGACCTTATCGATTGGTCGGTCCTTTGGGTGAAATATGTTGTCTTTGTTCTTCTGCGCCGGAAAGAAGTCTTCTGTATCAATGACTAAAGAGTTAAGACTAACCTGCTCGAACGCCGCGATGTGCAACGATCACTATCACCGAACTGACCGTCGGCCACTTTTCTACAGATATGCAAGCGCATTTCTTTCCTGTCTGATAGTTTTATGCTCTTCTGTTTCAACAGTAATTTGTTAGCACACACCTACCCTTAAATCGCTAATCTACAAAAGTTTACTTCTGACGTTCAAGTTTTATTGAAATACACTAACGCCAATCTCTATACCAGACCGCATGCAGTATAATGTTATTGCTATTCAGAATTGCGCCTTAGACACTTGGACACTGGTTTGCTTGTGTAGTCTGTTCTCATTTTGAGTGCATCTGGGAATGACTGCGAAATTCAGCCTTTTCAGATCAAAATCCAAGTTTTTAAGTAGTTATGTTGTATGGTATTACGTTAGCAGTTTTCATGATTATGCGAGTTTTAAGTTTTTTTTCTGTCCAAAGGTGGTCGCGGGTTTCCTACCTCAGTGAGTAAAATGTTTATCACAAATCCCTGACTGTTTCTTGACACTCGTACGGTTATTACCGACTGTTCTTCATCGCCGGTCTCTACATCCTCGTGTTTACGAAGCCCGATGTTTGTC